CACAATGATTCATGTAACAGCTTTGTCAAGAAAGGTTGTAAAACGGGGCAAAATTCATTTAAATCTCTTACTTAACAACGGAAATTTTGGGCTCAATTATAGTTGTAACTCAAGGACTGACTACCTATACAGTAATGCTTTTATACTGATGTAAAGCAAATGTGGTTGTGTGCTTTGAGTTTAACTAATTAAAAAATAAGGACACAGGTTACAGGGCCAAGCCAGTTAAAGATTCTATGATAGAGGTATTGCTATCTCTACCAATACCTCTATTGGTGTCAATACTTATGAATACCTCTTATCATACCATCATAAAGATGGATTGATAGAGTTTTTGTTAGAGAGGANTGCAACCCCATCGGGGAGTTGCAAACCACTTTTTTGGGGAGGTTCGTGACACATTTTTTGGTCGAGATGATCAGGCTTGTACAGGCAAAGCTGTCGACATTTTTTTCTGCTTTGCTGGGCTGGGGGTGGGTGGGGGAAGCTGGGGAGGAAGTCACAGAAATTTATCAGTGGAGTTGAAAACCCCACCTACAGTGACCTACAATGGCCATCTTCAAATGGGATATCTTCCAGATCAATTTGGGATTATGATTCCCAGAATTCCTTGGCAATCTTTGGCTCTGCTGGTTGTGAACCCTATAAGTGGTAGTCCAACGCATCACAGACAATTTGTACTTCAGGTTACAATCTTCTTGTTTTCGAAGCACAGATGCTGTAAGGGTGGGATCATTTAATATTACAATAGTGCAAAATATGTAGGTATGTACACCTAATATGTTGCATAGTTCCATTTGTCTCTCTCCAGCATTCCTTCTTTTTACTAATATTCTGTTAATGGAAAATGAGAGAAGGCATGTCACTGGGAAGAAATTGCAATGAACACTTCGTAAAAGTCTAACCCTGGACTGTTACAGCATTGTATATTATACATGACTGTAAATGCGAATTGTATATTAACCCTAACCATGGCATCTTGTTGCATTATTCACAAATATGACTGCACGGAGAAGGCTGTTCTACAAATCACGATTCAGTGGCAATTTCCTTTGGCACATGCCATTAGTGAATGGTACTCTCTTCTCAGGGTCATGGTCCAAGCCTGGTTAGCTGCTTTTCTGCTCCTAATGGCAGCTCTTTGGACAGCCAATTGTTTGGAATAGTATAAGGCAGGGGTGTCAAGCTCACATCGTCACGGTGGCATCATGTGACATATCAGGACTTTCTTCCCCTTCATTAAACTGGGTATGGGCGTGGCCAGCGCATGACACATCCCCCCTGCGGGCTGGGAGTTTGACAGCCCTGGTATAAGGTCTCCTGCCTGAGCAGGGGGTTGACCTAGAANTTGCAGTCACTTCAATCCACAAAACATCGTTACAAGCAAGAGCAAAAAACTTTCTAAGGCAGTCCAATAGGGATTAAATTCGCCGCTTTGTTCTTTCTTAAAGGACTAATTTAACTTTAAAAAAGGTTTCTTAGGACAGTCTTCTAAAAGTGAAAGAAAAAAAGAACCTCACCAGATGGAACACTTTAACTTCTTCTTTCTTTCCGGAGCTGTCTCTGACTATGTCACCCTGGGAGCTGCCTGTTTGCCACCGGTTGGAAGTGCTTCCCTTGGGTCGAACAGGGACTTTACGGTGTGCCTGTGACCAGCAAGGTCTTGTCTTCCCAGTCACTATCTCTTTGGGATGGTTAGGTCCTGCCAGACCGTCCAGGGGCAAAAGTGTCCTCTGTGGACTCGGACTGTCGAGTCTGCATGATATGACGTCGCAACAGTGGCTCCTCTTCTCCTGTGCATGTCTTTACGTAACCTTTCCTCTCATTCCTACAAGGCAGTTGTTAAGTGCCCAATTTTATCTCTTTTTTTGCCTTGGTTGTTAAACAAATAAATCAATTAAATGAATCACGCAGTCATTAAGTGAATCCAGACTATGTTGACTTTGCTTATTGAAGGAATGCCAATCACATAATCCTGGAATGCTGTAACCATAATAAATAGATGCCAGTTTTTGTTCATGTGACTGGGGATTCTGTGACGGTCATGAAACTAGTTGTAGGTCATTTTTTTCACTACTGTTGTAACTTTGAACAGTCACTAAATGAATGGTTGTAATTCCTTCCATTGAAAAACTAGAGATAAAACTAAAAATAACTATGTCACTGCTGGGAAACAAATGCTACAAATAATATTTTGTCAATACTTCTTGTCTGGTCTGTATGATCTGATAACTCTCATTTTTTTATGCTTTAGGGAATAAATAAACAATGTTCTCATAATACAATAAGGACATTCACTATGGTAGCGTTAGTTCATATAATATAAGAAACAGTTGAGAAACTTACAATTTGCTTATTATTTCAATTATGGGCAGCCAAATTGGCTGCTAAGGCTCATAGGATAAATAAATAGCACAATATAAGATTGATTTGATATATTCATAGAAAGAATAGGTTAAAAGTATTAAATCCAGAAAGTAGATTAATATGCTTGTAAAATAAAGATCTCAATATTAGCATATAGACAGAATTTCTAAAAATGAACAAGGAAGGAACCTGCAATATGTTTTAACTCTTAAGTTCCATTATGGAAAGAATTATTTTACAGATAATGACCCAGAATGCTTTCCAACTGTATTGGGGTACTGAACAAGATATATTCTGGAAAACCTTTAAAGATAGAAGTCATTCTTTGGACATCTATACTCCTTAGGATTTTAAAGGTAGAGACTTTCCTGTTTGAATTGCCCTGGTAATGAATTGAAAACTCGTAAATAATATTGATAGACTCCTGTCAATGAATTTTGTCCTGGAAACCCTTTGCTCTTTTTGTGGTAAATAAAAGCTGATAATAATTCTTCGGATGCTAGCATAACAAAAACATTCAAGAGAAATTTTTTTATGTGTTGTATATAATCATGAAAGGCGTAAATAATACATGTCACATATTTCTTCTTGGCATACGAATGCTAAAATTACTTCATTATTAATATTTTTTCCTTATTCTTGGAACTTTTTGTAGCTCCTTCAGGTATTTGGGTAATTTTTCTGAGAGGGTCTTTTATTGTTCAGATAATAGCCATTTTTCAAATCTCCTGTGAAGCTTCCTCATACCGAAATAATTGGGTGAAATGTAACTGTATATGCTGTCAGCTTTCACTTTAGAGTAATAAAATATTTTAGAAAGCAGACTTTAACAGCCTCGAAAAATACTTAGTGTTGCTTTTAAGATTGCTGTTATTAAATATCTCTTCTATTTTAATATCAGATATATCCTTTTTCATTTGATTTTGAGCAGTAGACAAAAAGAAAATATTATACTTGCAAAACCTGAAACATTTTTTTACATTCAAAAGTCTCCTTGGATTCATGTGGACACCTAATGTGGTGCAATGGTTAAGGTGCTGGACTAGGATTGGGGAAACTGAGGTTCTAGTCCTTCTTTAGACACATGGACCACAGTGAACCAATCACTTCCTCTCAGCCTTAATCACTGTCAGGCTCCGTGAAAAGTTACCTGAACAACAGAACCCCTTGGCACAACAAATATTGATGGCTTTTCGGTGTGAAATAGACAAAAACCTTTTGCCCTGCAACCAAGTCATAGAAATGTTAACAATAATTTGGATTTACTACATATCACATGGTCAAAACTCTACAGAAAAAATGAAATATTAATAGGTAATATTTGTTATTATTAGGAAAGGTGTTAGGATTCATCAGAATGTAGCCTAAAGCGAGAAAAAATGATGTAAAATCTGTTGTCTTCATAAGTTTGAGCGCACAATATAAAAATTTTTGGTGAGGAAAAGCTAAAAGTGAAAATTGATATTTAATAGTGCATTCAAGTTTCAAGTGCTGTACTGTAATTGTTCCTTGAAGTCGTAGGCTACTTACTCTTTGATTTGGATTGTGCATTCACTACCAAATCTCCACAATCATTTAGTAGCCTGGAAATATGCAGAGCCTGCATAGCATTAATCAAGATATTGGGTATGCCCAGAGGCTTCTGTTACAGCACTGTGGCATTAATTTTATGTGTTTCCTCTTAGTTCATAAAGCAAAATCTTCAGAATGGTCTCAGAAAAATGAACTTTTTTTTATTCAATAAGAGAAAAATGTAGGATTGCAGTGTTTGTAACTTCGTGAGTGGAAGAGAATAGGCTAATCAAGGCTAACTTGGATTATATAGAGGCTTCCAATGTATAGTATAAAAGTATAGTATTGGCTTATCACCGATGTTTTATTAATAAGGTATTACTATTTATATAAAAAAAATAATGTTTAACAAATCTATATTTAGAATTCCAAGAACATTTGCTTGATATTTTGCGAGTTTAAGCTCAAAGACAAAGCAAACCTGTCTGCCAACTTTACAAAAGTAATCAGACTTATTTGAGCTAGTGTATATTGCTATTGTTGTAAAATATGAAATAATAGAATGGTGATGATAAATGTAATAATATATACATTGTTGTGGATCATGAAATAAGTAAAAATAAATATATAGTGTATGCAATAGTTTGCCTGTTTGCAATTTGTGGGGTTAGGGAGAGCATTTGAAAGAGATGTGTTGTGAAATAAATGAACTTCCTCAAGTATTAAAACAGCTGCATCCTCTGGAATGGCCAGCAACACTTCTTTAAAGATAATCTGTAGCTATGCATTGTGAGTGTGCTTGCTTTAGCAATCTCGCCAGAAATTTTGACCGTGCATATACTAGAGATGGGGAGACCTTTTGCAGTGGTAATTGCAGTTACTTGAATACTTTTGAGCATTTGGGCTCATCCTACTATATTTTGCTTTGTACAACTTGCCAATTTGTACCCCCACCTTTTCATCCCTCAAAGCAAGTCACATATGTAATAGTAGAAAACATTTAAAACACAATTAAAGTTCTTAATGTATGGTACTTTGTATAGCTAATTTTATGTAACTGTAATATGAGTAGCACCTATAACCTTCATAAAAACTTAGATTAGTTTTTTTTTTAATTGTAGCTGCACATCTTTAACTCTTGGACCCAACTGTGATCGATTTAAATTACATATTCCATATGCTGGAGAAACTTTAAAATGTAAGTACTTGGTATCTTAAAATAATCTGCAGACTGTCACTGATTTTTTGATTCTGTAGCTAAACTAATAATTTCTGTTATGTAGGTTGCTTTTTCTCATCTTTAAAAGCCATTCTTTATAGAAAGTTGCCTGATGTCTGCTCCATATAATTCCATCAAATGAATATCTTTTTATTTATTTTTATTGTGTTAGTAATATTTTTAGTAGTTTCTGCTGATATTATTCCTTTCTTTTAATATTGGTGTTCAAGTAGTGACATTCACTGCATGGAAAGGCCGAGTCAGCTTTAGGCTAAGGCAAAGTAAGTACTGGGACACTAAGGCCAGTTTTCCTTCTGATTCATTGTAAAAACACAAATCTTCACTTTGGCGGGAAATGGCACTGTCAATTAATGTGACCAAGGAGTGCCATATAACCGAGAGTTGGCAACTCAGTGCAAGAGTGCCTTGTGGGAAGAAACCAACTTGGCAGTCAGAGGAAAGAGACTGTCTAAAGTTAAAAGAGATAAGTGGCCAAGTTTTGGATTTAAGCAGATTATTCACAATGGTTAAAACAAACTGATAAAGGAATTGTGGAGAATTTTAAATCATTGCTGTAAGCAGAATGAACAGGCAGATAAACTACAAATCAGATGTAGAATGAGGAGGTTCGATAATTCTGATTTTACATAGATGCTGATGGTGGCTAATTAGAAAAAGATTTTGAGGTTGTGGTTCATTGAAAATATATTGAATGTAGCTAAGGCCTATTCACACAAGATAGAATGGGAAGCAGCCAATTTAGACAACTTTAAAAAGGGGATTAAGTAGGAAATGAAACTATTTAAACAGCAATTTTGCTGGGATAGGAGATCAAGGAAGGAGCTGCAAGGCCAGTTCTTTGCCTCCATTAATCTATTTGAGAGAAATGAAAACTTATTTTTGCTCTTCAGCATTAGCAATTGAGGTTGAAAAAAATACTTCAGCTTTCTGGCTGGTCCCCAAATCATACTAAGTTCTTAATGTATACTTTGTTTACCGTATTTTTCGGAGTATAAGACGCACCTTTTTTTCCTCAGAAAAGAGGCTGAAAATCTGGGTGCGTCTTATACATCGAATACACCATTTTTTGCCTCCCGACACTCCGCCCCTTCACCAAAATGGCCGTGCATACCTTATGGAGGCTTTCAGAAGGCTCCTGGGGGCTGGGGAGGGCAGAAATGNTTTACCCGCCTCTGCTGGCGCGTGGGCTGGCACTTTTTTTTTATGTCGGACATAGCGGCAGGGCTTTTGGACATAGTCTGGGGCGCCCTGGGCTCCTGTGCGCTGCGCCGAAGGGAAAGCAGTGGCGGCGGCGGTGTTGGGGAAGGAGGACCGGTAAGGCGTGGGCTGTGGGCTGGCATGGGCACCAGATGGGCTGGGGGCGCGTCGGCGAGGGGCTGCATCCTCCTCCTCCTGCTGCTGGCCGATCAGGGCTTCCAAGCGCTGCCAAACCCAAACTGAGCTGGGAAGGAATTCAAGGCATCCACTTTGCTCAGCCTGCCAGTGTGTGCGGACAAGCCCAGAGCAAAAAAAACCCAACCCAACAACACAGCAGAAGCTGGAATCCCCGCACTGGCCACGGCTTTGGAGTCGAAGGGAAGGAAGGGAGGGAGCAGGGAAGGCAGGCAGGCTCTCGGGAAGAGTCCGCCGGCCTCTTCCTCCTTCGCGTCCCGCCTCTATGGTGGACACAGCGCCGGGGCGTCCGAACGCCCTGCCGCTGTGTCCGGCATAGAGGCATCCCGCCCCTATGGTGGACACAACACCGGGGCGTCCGAAAGCCCTGCCACTGTGTCCGACATAGGGCGGCTTTTGCCCGCTTGCCTCACCAGCCATAAACCTCACCGCACGTCACTGAACCGTAGAGAACAGTTTTCAGTCAATTTTCACAATGAATAGTCTGATTTGGTATGTGGCAGTTTCCAATAGTCCATTAACAGCGTTTCCCCACCTGAATAAAACTTGAAACCTAAAAGGAATAGTAATTGTAACTTGCTTTGCATGATTGTTGGTTGATGGACTGTCCATAAATTCTATTGTAATACAAATAATCCTTGATATATGACCAAAATTGAGACTAGAATTTCTATTGTTAAGCAAGGCAGCGTAGGTCTCAGAAATCCATCACAACAGGTTGTGTCCAAAATGTCTGTTTGTCTTATGCAGAGTTTATTTGGCATTTAAACAGTTTTAACAAGCAAAGCAAAAGCAGGAGTAGCAACAGCATCTTATTGGTACATTTTCCTTGTCAATATCTAAGTCCATCCTAGCCAGAGTAGAATCTCACATAACTCCCTGGTACGGCCTGTCTTTGCTAGGTGAGCTCATAGGTGAAAAGATAAACAGCCTTTATGACATATTTTGAAACAAATTCAATTAAGTAAGATATCTAAGCATATCCCCCCCCCAATACACCTGTATGTATCATTAACATTTCTTCGTTATTATTGTAGTTGACTAGGAATTATTTACTATTTGTCTCTCCTCTCCTCTCCACAGCCCACACGAGATTATACCTTTATAACCATCTTTAAACAAAAATGTATTAATAAAATTTATAGGTCTTTTTCCTCAGTCCCAAATTGGTTAGTTACATGTTAACAAGATAGACATTAAAAATCTAAAACAATCTCTAAGAGATGTTAACATTTCTACTTAATAATCACCAGAGTATACATTAGCATTTCCTTATTTATATCACATCTCCTCTCTTCTGACTCAAATTATTTATATCTTCATAACAAAATCTAAACAAAAATTTGTAAGGTTTGTACATTTTTTTCACCAGATCCCAAATTACAATTTATGGCCTGGTTAT